TATTTATATATATTCATATTTACATATATATCCTCATTCCACAGTCAAGTCTCATGGTTGTACACCCACCCCCCCCGTATCCCCTACAGAATACCCAGACAAGCACGTGATCGCTCAGCGACTGCCTGGGCCAAAGGGTGAAGGGTATTGTTGGTATCAAGCGACTATCAAAGGTGGCAGAGAGGGTCGTGACTTGGATGCTTGGGCACTTGTGCGAGCGTGCGAAGCTTTGGGTGCGGTGAGTTGAGTTGCTGTTTTAGGGTTTAGGGTTTATTGCTTGTACCCGTAGGGGTAGGGTAGGGTAGGGTGTTGGTATGGGAGGTATGCATATGATAATGGTACATATGCTTGATGTTTCTGTACACATGCTTGGTGTTTGTGTGTGGTATGTGTTCATATACATATACTTTGATGTCTGTGTGTGGTATGTGTTCATATACATATACTTTGATGTTTGTGTGTGGTATGTGTTCATATACATATACTTTGATGTTTGTGTGTGGTATGTGTTCATATACATATACTTTGATGTTTGTGTGTGGTATGTGTTTATAGTATGTGTTTATATACATATACTTTGATGTTTGTGTGTGGTATGTGTTCATATACATGTACTTTGATGTTTGTGTGTGGTATGTGTTCATATACATATACTTTGATGTTTGTGTGTATTATGTGTGTGTTTGCTGCGCGTTTGCTTAGCGAGTGTGCAGTGGAGCTCAACCCCTTTGTTTGATTTAGGGTTCTAGGGTTTTAGGTTGTTTGATTGAGGAAGTATTGGTGTTGGCTCGTCCATAAAGTGTTCGTACGACACCGCAGTGCAAGTGTATGTATGTAGGTATATTATTATGTGTACTTGTATGTATGTATATTTGTATATATTTTATTATGTTTAATTATCCATACGCATGTCTTATTCTATACCCCTGATTCGGAGCCATGTGCTATTGGTCCCCAGTTAGTCCTCCTCAGCGCAGTGTGCAGAATGGTTGTAGGGTTTAGGGTTTAGTAGTGTCTCATTTGTGTGGCATTTTGTTTTCTCCCACTCACTTTAGGGAGAGATTCTGTTGAACTGTATGGACCACGACGGCTGCAATGCGGGGTATGCTCTTACGATCAAATGGTTAACTACACTTAGGCTACACGTGCTATGCTCTTATGATCAAATGGTTAACTACACTTCAGCTACACGTGCTATGCTCTTATGATCAAATGGTTAGCTACACTTAGGCTACACCCCAAGGTGAAGAACTGAACCAACCAACCTAGTACTAGGGTTTTTGTGGTTTAGGGGTTTAGCAGTACTAGGTTCAGTCGTTCACCTTGTTTGCTGCGACACCGGAGAGATAGCGAGTTCGAATCGTGTTTTGGGTTTTAGGGTTTTGTAATGGGAGCCAATCAGAGATGCAGAGGGTATTACAAACTCATCACAATCATACACACTGCTGTGCATAACCATACAACTCTAAAAACCAGAACCCTAACCGTAAATACCCTACCCTAATTCAAACCCTAAAACCCTAAAACTCCCATATCCACAGATACGACCTTGATCTAATTGACGACATCAAACGGGCGGTGAAGATACCAGTCATAGCTTCATCAGGTGCTGGCAAGCCAGGTAATGACATGTCCCAACCCCTAAAATCCTAACACCCTAAGGCAACGTGAGTATGACGCGATATGGCGTAAGGCCGATCCTAAAACCTGGGTGCATTCAGTGACTAGTATTACCAAATTGGACTGCTTGTGCTCTGGCATGTCTCGCAACCGGTCCAATATATATATATATATATATAGAAGTATATAGATATAAGTATATATATATAGTAAGTAGATATACA